AACAGATTACGGACTTCACTGGATTCCATATTCAGTGACTGCGGCAAACCTGGTCAACATTCCTTTATAGTATTTCTCTGCGGTCTTGAATGGTCCGTCGCTTTGGCTACGTCCCCAATCAGGCTTCCATACCAAAGAAGTACTCATTGGTCTTGTCGATTGCATCCGCATCACATGACCTGTGATTCTGTCTTGCACATCAGTTTGGTCAGATCTCCTTCTGACCTCTTTGTTAGTTAAATGATCCCGCCATGAGATCCCAAGCATGGTCCGCAAGCATTGTCGGTGGAAGACATTCATCCTCAGGCAGATTTTGCTTATTTTCTTTCATATGTTTCACTAACGTAAACTGCCGTTGGTATGATAATAAAATTATACAGCCGGTGTTTAGTACACTGGCTGAAAGAACTACTTGTTTATTCTGTTCAGATTAACCAAAGTTTTAATCTCACAGCTTACCTCTGCATTTTACGCATGAACGTGTGTGTGCGTCGATGTTTGTGTGTGTAAAACGCATAAAGAAATCTTTCTTTTTATGTGCCATGACGTTTCATAATGTAGGCGAACATAGTTTTCTACTTCCTTCTGTCCTTTGTTGCTCTCAACAAGTTCCTTCCTTCTGCTTTCTCTCCTAGATTACGTTCGATCATCCACTTGATTAAGGTCGCTAGATATGGCATGCGTTGTTTTCCCTTGTCTCTCTTTCCCTCTACTCGTGAGTATCTGATCCTCCAGGTCCTCCTTCCTCATTATGTGTCCCAGAAACTTCAGCTGCCTCTTCCTGATGTTAAGTATCAGCCTCCTTCTTATTTGCATCCACTCTAAGACCTCATCGTTGTTCACACGCTCGGTTCATGATATCCTCGGACTCATTCTGTAGAACCACATCTCCGTCGCCTCGAGTCTCTTCTTCATCTTTGAGGAAATCGCCCAAAATTAGCTGCCGTAAAGAAGGACAGACGTCACGTAACAGCTCAGTATTCTTTTCTTTCTTACTGTCTCGCAATACTCTGCCCAGCTTTTGGAATGTGTACTTGGCCATTCCAAAACGTCTAGTGATCTCATCATCGCGAATTCTTGCGTACTAAACACAATCCTCGCACGGTTAGATTATTTCTACCAATTTCCCCACTTATCAACTAACTTTCTGTATGTCACGAATAATTCGTTCCAATAAAAAAAAAATAGTCGAAAAATTCCCACCGGCATGTCTATTTTAGACAGCAGTTGTGTGTGTTGCAAAAGAAACACAGACTCAGTCAAAGAAAAAGAAAAACTCATTTAACGTACAGCTTCCGGATTCAATGATGCTTAACATTGGTTCGATAAGTTTAACTAGAAAATTCTCCAAAGAGTCTCGAGAAACAGGTGTTTGCGAAATTTTATTCTTTCAAGTAGAAAATGTGCCTCCTACAAGTTGTTAAGCGGATGCGCGCATAGCGTAGAGATTATCGGCGTGGATAATGGGATTAAAGTATTCAGTTTAAATTCCAGCCGATAAGTGTCGCACGATTTTATTTTTCATCCAATACAAGATAGATGGTTACTGTGTGGTGTTGTATTGACGTAAGGGCAAGAAATAATGTTCTTGGAGATATGCAGGAATGAAAAAAAAAAATGGTCGTGACATGAGGGTGGTGTAACGAAATTTGTGGTGTAACATAGAATTGGTGACCGACGTTCAATTCCGGGGCTAGTCTGTTGTGACCCGTTTCGCGTTAATGCTTTTTAGAAAGGCACGAGTCTATCTCTTCTCTCCACATCTAGGGAAAAAGGAAACTAAACTGTAATCTCTAGACTTGGTGGCAACCAATCACAGAGAAGATAAAATCTGAATTCGAAACTGGCGTGAACGCAAAGACAAACCACCATATGGCACTCCCCAACAATACATAGTAAGTTACAGATAAAAAAGAAAAGAGTAGAGCCATGAACATCCACATTCCAAAGTTAAATGGTATTAGAAACATGATGTTAAACAATTTTGTGTTAATAGTCAGCGAGACTAATTTGTCACCAGTTCAAGTGGAGGCCACTCAAATTTATTAAATATATATTCAGAACGAGGCTTTTACTAATATTACACACGAAGCCAACCAGTACATACCTCTTTTTTTGTATTACGTTCAGATTTCATTTATCTGGGGGATTATTTTTTTTTTATTTAATGGCTTGTTTATCAAAAGATATAAATTGCTTTTTCGTGGGGGGATGGGAATCAAAAATTCAATCTGTTTAATTGAAGGTATTGTGGTAACCCAGATTTAATATGAAACGCCAGACGAATATGTTGAAATAGTTTGCTGTATTTAATCAACACTAAACACGGAACAGATACGTTTACTAATATTTTTGACATAACCTGAGTGCACATTTTCATTTCTAAGCTAATAAGATTTTATATCTTTCTTCTTTTCTTTTTTTTTTCTTCCTATTTCTCTCTTATTTGATCTGTGATTTTTTTTCTTTCTTTTCCTTTTCTTCCTATTTCCTCTACACTTTCGGCCATATCATATTTAAATACCGGTTCTCGTACGATCCCCAAATTTAAGCAATATCGAGCCTGCCCAGTACCTAGATGGGTGACCAATTGGGAATATCAGGTGCTGTAAGCTTGGATACACTGTAATTGATAACGGCTAAGAATTGGTACTCGGAGAGCCGAGTTCCAATTCCAATCTGGTTCGTTTTTTTTTCCATTTGCGTGAAAATATATTTGACAATAGTATGAATTCAGCTATTCTCCTCCCAACTATGGATTAAATAGTAGGACTTGTATCAGTAAATCATTATTATCTACAAAACATTCTTAAGGCCGCATAATATTTTCTGCTTTTAAATAACCAGCAAAAAGTAGATAAACCATAAAACATCATTTAGTCCTGTTTGCTCTGTTGCCTTTCTTTTAAGTTGTCTTCGTTCTTTCCTTCTTTTTTTTCTTTCCTTTTTCTTTGTTTCTTTCCTTACAATTCAAAATCCTCAGTTAAGTGTTTGGTAATTTTTTTTTTTCAAATTTTAAATTTTATTTATTTCTCCTGCTTTTTCTCTTCTGTCTTTCTTTTACCTTTTAAGTTTTGTTTTGTATCAATTTAATTTACTTCCATAATTCGAACGTCTTGTGAAGTAGAAATGTCTGTCGAAAGCTTGTCTCAAATTGCACCAATTTTAAATTCTGTCAGGAACATTTTTTTACACCGTGCCAAATGAATCAAAGCTTTCTAAATAACAGAATCAATTTCAAATTAAATAATTCAATTCTAAGCACTCTCAGTATCTGCATCGATCAAACGAAGAATGGCTGTAACGAATTAATATGATAAAACTCAAAGATGGGAATGAGTGGGCCATTTGTTTTTCCGTTAATATTATGGGAAGCAATTTATTCACAAAATGCAGCACATGACCAACGAAAGAAGGTTGATTTTAATAAAATGTAAAAAGAAATAACTAGAATCCTTCTGTTACAGTTCGAATCATCAGAGGGTATACTTGGCCATTCCTCTCTTAATGCAATCGAGATAAGTTACTTTAGAGATTGTTCTTGGATAGTAGACCACAGGTGAATATTCCTTTCCAAAACCGAATATCTGGAACCATAGCCCTAACAATCATTATTGTAAATAGATATACCAATATGCATACATCACTTCTTCCAAACTGTATGATTGTGTATCTATCTATCTATCTATCTATCTATCTATCTATCTATCTATCTATCTATATCTATATCTATATCTATATCTATCTATCTATATATATATATATATATATATATATATATATATATATATATATATATTGCCATCCACAAACAAACTGTTTCGCTGTATTACAGCTCAGCAGTGTGGCCAGACGTCCGATTGATACGCAAACTCAAATATAAATATTGTTAATACTGTTTATTATAAACAGAGCATTTACTTAAGTATTTGTATCTATAAAAAGAACCTATAAACATAAGAAAATGTCTCAAATATTTTTCTTCCTCACATTTATTACAAATTACGTAACGGCGACAAACCACTATACATATGTTATTTTTACCATAAAGTCAATGGACGCAATTTCATGTTATGCATATTTAAATTTATTTAATAATGTTGTTAGTGTATAGTATGCATTTTTCGAACACATAATACTTGGATATAAAGCGCAAGTTGTTATATATATACATGCAGATTGATATTAGAATATTTACTGAAAACAAAATATTATCTATATCCTCTATTGAAATGCCGTAAAAAACAGATAAGCGGCTCTATATCATGAACTGCTTTCGTAATTTTAACGTAATTATTGGTAATGCATTCGTCAGGTCTCAAAGGCAAAATAAACTCCGAAATTTATTGTATTATTATCTATCGCTTAACTGTTATTTCAGGAACACACATACATACAAACAAGATTACAGGTTTAGAAATATATATATATATATATATATTTCAGTACCATATCACTTTCTGTTTGTGCGTATTCCGTGTGTTTTATTACCTGTTTTTTTCGTTATTGAATTATTTAATAGGAAGAGGTGTTGGATATCGTCAGCATCAGTCTGCCCGAAATATAATTAAAACAATCTCGATCGTTTAAGGACTAGGAGAAAAATAGAACGAAATCCTAAAACGGCAAGACGCAGATTACATCTTCAGAATGTTTTGCTGTTTTCCTTTCTTTTTTTTTCTTTTTTTTTTTTCGTTTAAATTTTGTTTCAAATCTTTTTTTATGCTCGTAAGGGAATGATGAAAGAAGCCTGCACTGTGAGCCCCCGTGCATAGAATGAATGGAAATGAACTGATGCCCACGTCGTCATGAAGTATTAGTGCAGAGGCTAAGAAGTAAAAGGTCATATCGGACTTTAAGAAGTGTCTCGCTAAACGGAGGAAAGCAAATGAAAAAAAAAAAAAAAAAAGGAAGGGAGATTTTTAGGATAAAAATAAAAATGTCGAAGGTGAGAGGAAGACTTTGGGAATCTTGATTGATGAAAAGAAAAGAAAGAAAAGCGAGAAAAAAAGATAAAGTGAGTTAAAAGTAACGAGTCGATGATTGGAATTTACAAGCAAAAAAAAGAGACGGTGGACTGAATTGTTAGAAATACAATGATACATAAAGAAAACGATTTGAAGTAAAGAAGAAAATACAAAACAAAATAGCGGTCATTCCTATGAGAAGTAAAAAAAAAAAACGAAAGAAAAAAAGCTGAAAAATAATCAAACATAAACAAAAAAAAAAAAAGGAATACTGAAAAGATTTATTATAATTACGTTTTTCTCTCCTTTCGTTAGTTTGCACGACCATTCCGGCTTGCCATGCCTAATAAATAATGATTGCGCGGATAAGAGGGAAAAAAACATTACTAGGCCTGAAAAAAAGAAAGAAAAAATAATGAAAGAAAGAAAAACAAAGAAAGAAAATAAATAAAGAAAGAAAGAAAGAAAGGAAAGAAAGAAAGAAAGAAAATAAAGTAAGAAAATAAAGAAAGAAACAAAGAAAAGAAAGAAATGAAATAAAGAAACAAAGAAAGGAAAGAAATAGATAAATCAAGAAAGAAAGAAAATAAATAAAGAAGGAAAGAAAGAAAATATATAAAGAAAGAAAATTAATAAAGAAAATAAATACAGAAATGAAATAAAGAAATAAATAAAGAAAAAAGAAAGAAACAAAGAAACAAAGAAAAGAAAGAAAAGAAAGAAACAAAGAAACAAAGAAACAAAGAAAAGAAAGAAAAGAAAGAAAAGAAAGAAAGAAAGAAAGAAAAAAGAAAATAAGTAAAGAAAGAAAGAAAATAAATAAATAAATATATAAATAAAAAAGAAAGAAAGTAAAGAAAGAAAGAAAAGAAAGAACTGGAATAAAGAAACAAAGAAAGCAAATAAATAAATAAATAAATAAAGAAAGAAAATAAAGAAAGAAAGAAGGAAAGAAAGAAAAGATATAAAGAAAGAAAATAAATAAAAAAGAAATAAATAAATAAAGAAACAAAGAAAAGAAAGAAAGAAAGAAAAAAGAAAATAAGTAATGAAAGAAAGAAAATAAAGAAATAAAAATATAAATAAAGAAAGAAAGTAAGTAAAGTAAGAAAGAAAATAAAAATAAATAAGATTAAGCTACTAAGAAAATATAACACATTTTGATCTTAACCAAAAGGCTTAGAAGGGATGGCGTCCGCGATAAGATGGATATTTTTAGAAGGAAAATGACAAAGTCAATAGCCACGAATTCAGTTACCATAAATAAGATACAATCATTTATTGAATTATTTTAAAATTATTATTAAGGTAAATGTTCGTAAGATAGGGATTTGGCTAGAAAAAAAGAAAGAAGTGTTTAATGTCTCCTACCATTACCTCATAAAGAATGATCTATTCCGTTTAATTACATAGAAAAACAAATGACATAATAAAGAAAGAATGAAAAAAGAAAGAGAGAAGGCGAAGAATGAAGTGTTTAATTTCTCATGCAGCGAAATGAAACGTTGTCAATTTGAAATCTTTGAATTTGTATTCCGTTAGTTCTTAAAATAACAGTCAGTATTGCGATTTATGACTCTTGCAATATTTTGCTAAAATTGGTAAGCTCAAATATTTAACGATTTGACGAGGGAATTTCTACGGATATTTCATTGTCATAGAACTCGGTATGAACATATTAACATTTGTATTATTGTATTTCTAAATATTCAGTCCACCGTCCCCCTTTTTTCGCTTGTAAATTCCAATCATCGACTCGTTACTTTTACTCACTTTATCTTTTTTTTCTCGCTTTTCTTTCCTTTCTTTTCATCAATTAAGATTCCCAAAGTCTTCCTCTCATCTTCGGCATTTTTATTTTTTTCCTAAAAATCTTTCTTCCATTTTTTTATTTATTTTCTTTCCTCCGTTTAGCGAGACACTTCTCTAAAGTCCGATATGACCTTTTACTTCTTAGCCTCTGCACTTATACTTCATGCCGACGTGGACATCAGTTCATTTCCATTCATTCTATGCACAGGGGCATGCTAAAATTCTTAAGCTCAGATATTCAACGATGTGATGAGGGAATTTCTATGGATATTTCATTGTCATAGAACTCGCTATGAACATATTAACTGATGAAGAAAGAACAATCAGAAAATTCAAATAGGAAAACCGTGAAATTTTCTCTGTTTTTTTTAGTTTTTAAAATAATAATGATAATCTATTTTTTTAAAAGATGTGCGCGAATCGCAGCGCTCGCGGGGCAATGAGTAGGATTGGCTTCTTGTGTTCAAATTCCAGTCGTAGCCGTTGCGTACACTTTCGCCAAACTACTCCTGGGAAGATGTGAATCCATCTCCTCTCTCCACTCTCACTAAATAGCACAACAGACAATGATCTCTAGCATATTGGCAACATGGGCGAATATCTGCACTTTGATGATGGCTCGTCATCGACTCACGGTTTGGCTGACGTTCAGCCAATCAGCGTATTACATGTGTCTACCTTGCGCGGTCAATTTGAACAAACTGCCTCTTTTGTGTAATTTAGAGAAGAAAAAAACTCACTTCTACACACGAGTGGAAGTATCTTTACTTGTTGAGCTTCACATTCCGAGGCGACGACACATGAGACCAATTCTTCGTGATCTTGACATTTATCTTCAGAATTAAGCTGAGTCCTCAAATAGACATCATATTTGCAATCTTATTGTTCCCTCATTTCTACACTAATTTATATTTTTCCATTATTCTATCATTCTGTTTTTTTTTTACTATTATTTTATGTGTCTTTATTTCAAATGTGACATCCTCTTTTCATTGCGTTTATCAAAATAGTTACGAGTTAAAGGTTATTATCTATTGTTCTTTAGGCAGGAACTTCTTATGACTTTGTGTTACTTTGCTGCGGTGATTGAGTTAAATAACCACCTCTCCCAGTTGTCTAAAACCATATAAGCTTTAGCCCGTATCCAAGGAGAAGGACAACCCTTATTTATAGACAGCTTGAGTGGGAAGATAGCAATTCCATCCCCTAAAATCCTACTTGATTCAGAAACCAGACTAGCAGCATCTAACATGATACGGCCAGTGATACGCCTTCAAAATTTTTAGTTTGTTTTGTTTTTTTTTAAATACTATTATTTAAAACAAGTTGAACCTTGTAACAACTATATTGTTGAAATATCATTTAGCTATTAACTTGGGTATACTTTCTGCATAGCTAATCCATTGCGACCATTCGAAGAGCCTGTTGACTAAACTCAAACTGAAATAGATTGGTATAAAGAGACAAAAAGACTACGAGTTATATATTAAAAAATATGTGCGTGTGCCATCGTCGTAATCGACAGTCCTAGGACCAGGAGTTGTTTGTAGGATCGCTTCGAACCTAACTAGATCACTCTACATGTCTAGATTGAAAGGTGGAGTTTTATTCATTCGTACGTAGCAAGTCTTGTGCAAGTAGATCTGGCGAATCCCATCCCTCTCCAGGTTAAAATATGCACCTTAACTTGAAAGCTCGCCTTGGTCACGTTCACGTGCCCGTTGTTTCAATCGGGGGGACCGTCTGCCCTGGCTGTTGAATTAAATCTAGGAAGCACTCCGCCTAGAATACATAGCTATGGAGTTCATTCTACGTTGGTGTATTAGAAGGCTGTTGACCTTAAAAGAATGCTCATTCTTTTTTTTTATCCCTATTGCGGTTTATCTAGCCTAAAACTTTAAGAAGAAAAGCCTGGTTAAGAAAGCTGTTTAGACCTTGATCCTATCACGCGGCGGGTATTACTGGTTTACCAGGAGCATATATAGAGAGACCTGACTTAATGCTTGTAGTGTTCTTAAAAACCAATAATTTGAACCGATTTTAAATGTGAATTATTTTTAATCGTGTAATGATATTGTTCTTTTCTTTCAGATTTGGCAGACATTTGGGCGCTATTATTTTTCACATATAATTGCCATGATTAAAATAACATGATCCAATAGAGAAATAAATAAATTTTCGCCAATAACACTGATTTATTTACTGCTGACTTTGATCCGTCTTAATGAAACACGCTTATATATAATCCGTTTTAATGAAACACGCTTATATATAATCCGTTTTAATGAAACACCCTTATATATAATCCGTCTTAATGAAACACCCTTATATATAATCCGTCTTAATGAAACAACCTTTAATTTGCCCATGTTGACAAATACTTTTTCACTTTATAATAAGCAAGAATAGATATTGTCAATAATAAAAAAAATAATCTACTACGAATGTTTCACGAGAGATAACTATGCACAATCGGTATCACTATGGCGTGAGAGATAAGGAGAAGGACGATTGTCTAGTTTAGTGCCAGTCTAGAGCCGAGTAAATCTGCTTTTATTTCCCACTTTTCGTCAGGTTGTCGCATGATGCATAACATGTAAGAGCAGATATTAACTTTTGCATCCGAACTTATGCAATTAAATCTATTGTAGAATGTTAAGAAGAAATTTTCTTTTAAATCATTAAACGTCAAGCGATGTTTTTTTTTAATATGATGTTGAGATGATTAGACGACGAAGAGGAAGAAATTGACTAAAAAGGAAAGCGACACAGAAAAGAAACAATTTTATAAACTAAAGAATCAAAGATACACGTAGATAGACTTGGAAGGGAGAATAATATGACAAAAAAGAAAAAAGAAAGAAAGCAAAAATGAATGAATGAATGACAAAGGAAAGCAGTAGCACTCATGGAAAAGAGAAACATTTAAAAATTGGATTTAACAAAACGAAAAGAACGACGCAGTAATAAAAAAAAGAAAAAAATAGGCATATTTATTTGGAGAACGATGATGAAAAACAGTAATAAAATAATGAAATAAATAACTTAAAATAATGCAAAAATATTAAAAGCAAATACCTAAAGAGCGTAAATAAATAAGGCCAGCAGAAGAAAAAATAACAGAAGGTTTAGAAAATAGAGAAGAAATAAAGTGAGAAGTATATAAACGGTAGTAAGGCAATAAAGTACCGAAAATAGAGCGTATTCAGAAATTGAAACAATAAAGAAAGTATCGAAAATAATAAAGTTAGTTATGTGCCATACGTTATGCCCGATTAGGCGATCATGTATCTTTCGATACATGACTGAAGGAGCAAAAGTAGAGAAAGTACAGACACTAAATAAAGAAAATACAGAGAATTGCACGGACAGAACAAAAATTGATGCAATGGATTGAGAAAGTACCGAAAATAGTAGAGAAATTAAAGGAAAAGGTCATAAAAACATGTGAAGTAAGTACCCAAAATTAAAGAAATAAAGAAATTAAAAAAAAAATAGTGCAAAATGTAAAAAAATAAACTAAATGAAGTCCAGGAAATAGGACAGAAATTATGGAAAGTAAATAAACATAAGGTACAACAACAACAACAATAATAATAATAATAATAATAATAATAATAATAATAATAATAATAATAATAATAATAATGAGAATAATAATAATAATCTTGCATGAGACAATAAGCATCACCACATTATCAAATCAACATCAAAAACGAGTCTAATAAATATTACTTATCATAACAACAACAACAGCAACAACAACAACAACAATAATAATAATAATAATAATAATAATAATAATAATAATAATAATAATAAACCAAAAAACAATAACAATAAAAGTTATGTGTGTATGCGACAGAGCAAGAATTAGAACGCGGGCCTCGTAGATAATGAATGTTATAGTTAGATCAATCCTAACTTGATGCCCTATTAATATTAAAACAATAAGCTGAATAAACATCACAGGTTCTGCCATTGTGAACAGCATAAGAGTACGCAACATATGTATTTCTGTTAAACTGAATATACTGTTCAAATAATAGTACAATGTGACAGCGATAGCTAACAATTTAGTCAGTTAGTTGACGTGTTTAACGGCATATGGGTCATTTAAGTATTAAAAATATATCTTATTCTGCTTTCACATGTGAGTATATGGTAGATGATACTCAGCTTTTGTGCATATACATGTTTGTGTGAGTATAATTAATATATGTGTGTTTTATCTTGTATTTTTTTAAGTTTTACGTTGGAATACAGTTTGATCTAAGAAATTGTCGGATATTATATGGACTAATATCATGAAAGAGTTCCTGTTGGTTGTTTGTTTGGTTGGATGATTTTATTTAGCGGCATATCAACCACTATGGGTTATTTAATGCCGAAATCGAAATAATTTTGAACGCAATTTTATGGCTTCAACTATATATAAAATGCATTGTTCCTCATGTTTTATCTAAAAAATTATTGCTGGAATTTTTATTATTAAAATGTATTTTTTATATTTTCATAGTCTTTGTTTGACCAGAGATAGGATCCTAACAGATGCTCGTACTCCGCGTCAAATGGACCTGCAAACAATAGCAATTAGTAGGTGTTTCCAGGTTGTTAACAATTTTGCTAATACATAGTTAGATCCTTATGGGATTAACATTATTGTGACCGAGAGACAGACTAATGTATGCCTTCTAAAAATCATTTATAATAATGAACTGATATCCAATGCTATATTAGACGTTATATTTAGTCAATAAATATTTTAGTGCCCTGTCTTAATGTAGTGACATGCAATTTGGTCTAGCTTACATTTATTCATGTAGGAAGCTTATTCTAAATACGTGCCTCAAGTTTTTGGACTTGTGTAGTTTTATACCGAGCCTAATAACAAGATTCCACATAAGGAAGTTGTGATGGACGGAAACCATAGTTGTCTCCCCTCCTTGAACTACTCGACTGTTAAAGAAAGAGTCGAACCTTATGGGCAGTTGTCAAATTATATTCAGTAATGATTCAATAAAAGTTTAAACGTTTGTTAGATTTTTGGGGGTTTTTTGCAGAGCTAAAATGAGGAAATATTTTTTCGAACAAGCAATTAAGACCTAAAAAAAAAACTATTTTAAAAATCGAGAAAATCAGCCTGAAAAAATCCTTTTTTAAATACTAAATTGAACTCAATATAAGGCAGGCGAAAAACTCAAACAATTACCGTTAGTGGTTAGGAGAAATATGGCTTCATAAGAGCGAAAGGAGAAGGTAGTCGGAAGTGAAGGATTTGCATTTGAGGAAATAGATAACTTGAAAAAGAGGCTAAGATTGTAGTGTTCAAGGCAGCACCACGCGGATGTCTGTTTCAAAAAGTATCAGTTTTCCTGGGGTTGCCTTGAGCTGTTAGTGGAACTTTCTCGTAACAGAATAAGGTGTAATTAAGGCTACATCAAATCCGTCGAAGTAGCATGGCGCCTCCTAGCTATAAAGGCCTGACCTGTTGGAACTAAAGGATAACGCTCATCTGAACATTTGCCATGGAAATCATAGCGGACCAATAATAGTCTTGCAATGATGCGACTGTGGGGAAGAGGCGTTTGGAATGGATGGGAATTCCCTCACAAGACCGTTTAAATTTATCAGGCGAAGATGGATTTAAGCAGTTAGGTTTTCGCAGTGATAGTCCACTTTCGTTTACTCTGATTTTTGTAATGATAAATCATGGCCGAAGGGGTAGATATTGCCAGGGCAGATAGAATAAACCGAGGATTTTGCGATTATCTTTAGCAAATGATCATATATATATATATATATATATATATATATATATATATACAATGTTACTATTGGTAATCTGTGTGGTATTTCCAAAAGGTTATAGATCCAGAAAGAGCTCTATGTCAGAGTCAGAGCAATAATTGGTATTATAAAATGTTGAATTGATCAATTCTTTTTTGTATTACGTGATAGGAAAAGTTGGGGTCAATTTTCCGACCTCAATGAAATAAATATAATCTCATGGATGTTTAAGGGTCCATGTTTATATAATAGTATATGTTTAAGTGGACTCAGCAGTTCTCAGTCTGCTTGTATGAATCATCTTCAAGAAGCGAGAGCAAGATCTAAAATGTCAGCCAATCTAAGAGTGATCTCACCTCATAATCCTCACACTTGCTCCACATGTGGCCGCCTTCGTAAATCACTAGAGGGTCTTAAATGCCACTTAAGATTATCGCACAAATAACTGAATCAACTAAGCTGTCAGATCCTCATACATTGAAACCGACGGGACCGTCCATTATATATATATATATATATATATATATATATATATATTAAATATGACTGACTGGAGAATCAGTAGACTTTCTAAGAATTGTTTGTCATGGTTAAAAAAAAGACGGTTTTGGGCGTTGATAATGAGATGATAATATTTTGTAGTTTGAGGTAGTGAAAGTTACAAAGCCAATTTTATTCCATTGAGCTGTAAAAGTTAAGTCAGCGGAGACATCAGTTTTAAGGCTCCGATCGTCTTGAATATGAAAACAGAAAATATAACGAAAATAGTAAGTGTAAAAGAAAGATAAGTACATTAAAAAGGACGACGTAATATAAAGACGCAATACAGAGGCGTAATACTTATATCAATAGAAAGGTGTAATACTTATATTAATACAGAGGCGTAATTCTTATATTAATACAGAGGCGTAATATTTATATTTATACAGAGGCGTAATTCTTATATTAATACAGAGACGTAATATTTATATTTATACAGAGGCGTAATACTTATATTAATACAGAAGCGTAATACTTATATTAATACCGAGGCGTAATATTTATATTTATACAGATGCGTACTATTTATATTAATACAGAGGCGTAATATTTACATTAATACAGCGGCGTAATATTTATATTAATACAGAGGCGTAATACTTATATTACTACAGAGGCGTAATATTTATATTCATGCATAGGCGTACTATTTATATTAATACAGAGGCGTAATATTTATATTAATACAGAGGCGTAATACTGATATTAATACTGCGGGATATTTGTGTAATGACAAAGTACGCATCTGTAGACATTAAGAAATCTTTCTTCTACTGAGAATACAAGATTCGCGTATAGTGTCCTTTTATAGTCCCAGTAAAGAGAAATAGCTCTCTCAAAGAGGAGAGTAACTAAACAAGGGGAGACCACCCTTGATTATTTATAACAACTTTGTATTGAGACGGAGACATCAGCTGAAAAATCTCCGATCATTCTGACAATCGAATATGAAAACAGAAAATAGAAAGAAAATGAAAAAGGATAAAAGAGACATAGTTATAATAAAAAAGGGAGGCGTAATAAGAAAATGGTTATGAGGAAAAGTGTGAGGGGTAAAATAATGATAGGAATATTAAAAAGTCGGAGTAAGGTTATTTTAAATCGGCAAAAAAACTTGAGACGAGGGTAAAGGAAATATAGTAATTGTGAAAGAATAGAAAGAAAAACGGGATAAATACATAAAAAATAACAGGACCAAAAGAAAAGGGTAAATAAATTAGTGAAGGAAGAGGGAAAATGACGGAGTAAGTCAAATAAATTTGATCATAAAAGAAACGAAATTTTGAACCGGGAAAACTGAGGCGAATACGATTTTCGGAAGACAATATCTCTTGAAAAATCGATGTTTAACCTATCGAACTTTGTATTCAATAAGAAAAATGGCTGGCTTGAAGGGAAAATTATTTTTCTTATCATTTATGCGCGTTTTATTTATTTTCTTTAACAATTTAGTTTTCATTTTCCTGTCTATTCATTTGTACGATTATTGTCTGTATAACAATAATGAAGACATTGGATTGGGCAAAGTGAAGTTTTTCGTTCATTTTATTTTAACGTTCGATCAGATACAATCAATGCTAGCCAGAGTTAGAATGATGACGGTGATAATAGCGACAAATACATTAACCAGATACACACAAGTTATATAAAGACAAGAATAAACAATAATTGAAATGACAATGGCAACGTTCGTAACAACAGGAAGAACTGAAAATGAACGAAAGTGAGCGATAAAAAAGATGAAAAAAAGGAATGACGTATACGAAATAAGAAGAAGAATGATAAAAAAAATAGCTGAGTAGCGAATATATAAAGAATGGAATGAAAACGTCTGCCAATCTCGTTTTTTTGCAAAAATAACAAAAGAAAAGGACAATGGCATGATGAAGAACAATAGATAGAAGGAAAAAAATATTTAAAAAAAAATGGAGGTCGAAACTGGATAAGAGAGAAGAAGAGAACGCAAAGAGCTGGATAATGACTAGCCGAATTTGCTGAAAATATTGTGAAAGAATTTATAATTAAATAATAAAGAAACGGAATAAGAAAGATTAGCTGCAAAGAAGCAAAGTAGATATAAAAATGAGTAGCTTAAAAGACAAAGAGAAAAAAGCGACAAAAGACGCCGGAGCAGCAGCAATATTTCAGCAAGACAACACTGGGAAGTAAAACACAAGCAGAAGAGAGAAGCAGGGGCAGACGATTAGGAATTTGTCATGACTAATAATTAAAAAAAAAAAAAAAAAAAAAAAAACTATGAACAGACGCAGACAGAAAATGCATATGATAATAAGGAAACACGTAAAGAAAGATTGAAAATTTAGAAAAAAATTACCCCAGAATAATTTCCATTTAAATGCCTCCACACTAACTAGTTGTTTATCTGCAAGACATTACACTTACTATATTAATCTGCTTTATTTTTCATAGAGTTGTTCTTTCGAAAGTTATGAATGCATCGTTTATGAAGGGCAGTGGTGATCCTAAATTCAATATCAGTTGGGCGTTGTGTTCACAAATACGCAGAAACCACAGAAGTACTATCCAGCTTGGTTTTGCTGCTATACATAACGGGTCAGGTTGTAGAAGAAGAAGAAGTAGAAGAAGAAAAATAGGAGGAGGAGGAGGAGGAGGAGGAAGAAGAATAGGAGGAGGAGGAGGAAGAAGAAGAAGAAGAATAGGAGGAGGAAGAAAAAGAAGAATAATAGGAGGAGGAGGAATATAGAAAAGAAGAAGAATATGAGGAAGAAGACGATGAGGAAGAGGAAGAAGAATAGGCAGAGGATGATGAGGAGGAGGAGCAGGAGGAAGAAGAAGAAGAGGAAGAATAGGAGGAGGAGGAGGAGGAAGAAGAAAAAAGAAGAGGAATAATAGGAGGAAAAAGAAGAAGATTAGGAGGAGGAAAAAAAAGAAAAAGAAGAATAGAAGGATGATGAAGAAGAAGAATAGGAGATGGAGGAGGAGGAGGAGGAGGAAGATGAAGAAGAATAGGAAGAAGAGGAAGTAAGAGAAGAAGAATAGGAGGAGGAAGAAAAGAAAGAAAAAGAAGAATAGGAGGAGGAGGAAGAAAGAAAAGAAGAAGAATATGAGGAGGAGGAAGAAAGAGAATATGAAGAGAAGGAAGAAGAGGAAGAAGGAGAAGAAGAATAGGAGGTGGAGGAGGAGGAAGAAGAAAAAAGAAGAAGAAGAAAAAAAGAAGAAAAAGAAGAAGAAGAAGAGGAAGAATAGGAGGTTAAAGAAAAAGAAAAAAAGAAGAGGAAGAAGATTAGGAAGAAGAAGAAGAATAAGAAGAATAGGAGGAGGAAGAAAAAGAAAAAGAAGAAGAAGAGGAAAAATAGGAGGAAGAAGAAGAAGAATAGGGGAGGAAGAAAAAGAAAAAGAAGAAGAGGTAGAATAGGAGGAAGAAGAAAGAAAAGAAGAAGAAATTGAAGAAGAAGAAGAAGAAGAAGAATAGGGGAGGAAGAAAAAGAAAAAGAAGAAGCGGAAGAATAGTATGAGGAGGAGGAGGAGGAGGAAGAAGAAGAAGAAGAAGAAGAAGAATAGAAGGAGGAAGAAAGAAAAGAAGCAGAATATGAGGAGAAGGAAGAAGAATAATAGGAGGAGGTTGAAGAAGAAGAAGAAGACTAAGAGGAGGAAGAAAGAAAAGAAGAAGAATATGAGGAGGAGGTAGAACAAGAGCAAGAGGAGGAGGAAGAAGAACAACAAGAACAAGAAGCACTGTTGAATTTGGATCTTGTATGTCTTAGTGGAAATTTTATCCCGTTCATGTCATCCAAATGAAAACTGAGCGTTGGGATTTAGTCTCAAAAATGAGTAAAGGAGATTTCCGAATCAATACTCATTGCTGTTTATTTCTTTTCTATGTGCTGTGTTCGTTCAGCATGTCAATTATCATCGCTCTCTACAAACTTCAATCCCTTCTTGGCTTTAGCAGCATTTGAAGAACACCTCGCAACCGTTTCGCCAATAAAGATCGTGCCTGTCCTTTTGGCTCTCTATGGTTTCGAGGAATGTCATATTCTTCAAGCCATCCTTCCTTATTATGTGTCTAATAAATTTTTAGCCGCCTCTTTCCGATTCTGAGTGTAATTGTCCATTACATTTCTGTTCTCCTCAAAACTTCTTGCTTCCTTACGCTCTACGCCCATGGAATTCTCAGTATCCTACGGTAGAACCACATTTCTGTTGCCTCCAGTTTTCTCTTCATCTGTTAGAAGATTGACCAACATTCATTACCATGCAAAAATATCGATATTACTTAACTATTCAGCACTCTGTTTCCATAAAGAGAGACAGAAAGTGTGTAAAAATAGGGATCAATAATACATCGTGACTGTCAGATTGGTACCTCAATGTAATATAAAATTTTGGTTTGAAGATCATGTTGAAGAGTGAAACTGACTGCCACTATGCAATGTTGATCACTATAACCATGTTGTTTATATTTATAAACATTATCTCCATCATTGCCCATTCTTCTAATATATATATATATATATATATATATGTGATGTTTCTCGGTACTTTGATGTCAAGATATGTTTAGCTATATAATGATGACGTGTGAAATGAAGACACATCGTAATAGATTTTGCTAAAATGTTTAAAGACCAATGACTATAGAAGGGTGAAAAATATTTTAAACTCTTTCTTTCTTGGGTTAGCATGAGATTAAATTAGATGTTCGCTTCGTTGACCTTTATGTTTTAATTTCACGCTAACGAAACAATCCTGAGGTTGTCACTTGTTCCGTTCGATTGACCGTTTTAACCGCATTGAAACTGGCGAGAAGGGGAAATCGAAAAACGATTCAGAAGTACAAAGAGAAGTTGATGATCAACTGGGAACGGAATTTGGTTTTCTTTGTTCGATTTTTGCATTGATAATTAAATTTATTCTATCAACATGACGATAACCTTAAATAAACCTAAAATTTTCTTTTGGCTTATTTGATTTATATAAAAGGATTTTCTTCGCTACAGAAATTTTTTCATTGATCCTTCGACTCTTGCAAATCATTCCACTGAATAGTATTTTTTTTTCATTTCTCTCAGCCACAATGTACTACGTCTTATCGCTGAACTGGCAAACTCACTATGACACAGACAGACAGACAGACAGACACACACACACACACACACACACACACACACACACACACACAGGTATATGTATATACGGGTTGCAAAGGCCCCTCGGAGTGGTGGAGTGGTTAGCAAGCTTGTCTCGCTAGAACAATTACGACTGAGTAGTGAGTTCGATCCTCACTGGGTGCTCCATACTTCCGGCCTTTGTGCCACATCTAAGCAGCGCTTAGAAAATCACTATTTACGGGTTGCAATAGATAAATTGTTGTCTAAATTACGCAATAACATTGGCATCTCATTTTTAACAGATATATTTACCAAAGTTACACAAAAATAAATTCAAATACTAACGATAAACTAATTCAGAAAAATCGCCAATGGCTTCAACCACGAAATCCAGACGACTTCGTAATCGCCTGTATCTCTTCTGAACCTTCTTCCAGTTTACTTTGGTAAATGCTGCCTTTATCCTTGCCTTCAGTTCATCTCTGGTGTTACAAGGTGTTTTAATGGTCTCTCGCTCAGCTGCGCCCTCACATAATTACCAAAAGGGTTGCAGTATGGTGAGTTAGGTGGCCAAATATAAATGGTCATGACTGGGTTGTCCTGCTTGAGTAGCATGGTGCAGAATTCTATCGTCAAATATAGGTTTCTCCAGCAGCCACTCTCGTGACTCAGGACAGCATAACCTACTCAAAGAACTTCGTGTGGACATTGAAGCCCTGTTGGAAGATGGATGGAGACAAAACGTCGTCATCACTAGTGATCACTCCATGTACCATGATGCTGACAGGATATATCATCCAATACTTTTTAAATCCTCTGAATTTTCCTCAGATTGACACAACAAATTCTTTCTAATGTTCGTATTAGAGTTTAGGACGCCAATGCCAAGCAGGACAACATGCCGTTTTCAAATTTCTGTCGAAGTGAATAGCATAAGGGTGCTCTTTTTCTTACAGACGATGCCCAACAGACTATCGTATAACATGCAGTCGACAAAATCAATAACAACAAAGCGTATGCACGAAATTAAAAACATAAAATGGCGACAATTTATCAATCCTCCCTCTCTCTCCCTCACTCTTTCTATACACACACACACACACACACATATATATATATATATATTTAGGCAACAAATATTCGTCCAAACATGCTTCATTGATTAATATAGACATATGACTATTTATTTGTATAATATTCTTTTCTATTTTTCTAATCAGTTTCTTACCAGCAATTTCGATCATCTCCGAGATCATGCGTATATTGTGAAGCCTGTTTTAGACAGATTCAATTTGAGCTGACCTTCATTGAATATATATATATATATATATATATATATATATATATATATATATATACTCATATTCAACGAAGATGAGTATATATATATATATATATATATATATATATATATATATATATATACTCATATTCAACGAAGGAGAGCTCGAATCGCTACACAAGTTTCAAGTTCGCGAGATCTTCAAGCAATAATATCGTGAAAATCGACTGACAATTGCGTGAGCGTAAAACTTGAGTAGAATCTAAAACTGTTCTTGACATTTTGAAGCGCTTATTTGATCATATTATAAAGTCTAGACGCTGACAAAATTCATTTACTGCATATGTAGGTTTTTGCATTTTTGATTTTTGTCTTTATTTCAATTTTTTTTCTTTCTTTGGTCTGGATATTTCTGGTCTTTTCTCAAGTTTTCTGTTGATCAAACCAACATTGTGTTTTTTTAGTATCAATACATATATATATATATATATATATATATATATATATATATATATATATATATATATATATATATATATATATATATATATATATATATATATATATATATATATATATATATAAAATATTAGTGGTAAATATGCACATACATATGCAATCATATGTCTAAAATATATAAATATATATACATACATACATATATATTTGTATAAAGATATTCTGACCATGAGACCCGGGTTCGAATCTCACCATGGTCGATTTGTCAGGAGGCAGACTTCCTGATGTTGTCGGACTAGATAGGTCGATCTGATCTCAGCGTGCGGCACATTTGGAAAGCGCCTGAAAAAAGATAACACGGGTTGACACAAGCTTTGCTAGTGACATTTTGTAGACGGAATCCTTGGGGGCCGTCGATAGCTGTACTACCACGAAGTCACTAGTCATCGTGTCCGAGGGCTTGAGCGTATTAATCCTTGTTCAATTTGTTGATCACGTTAGATACCCAGCTCTTTCCCAGAAACTGTTACTAAGTTGCAACCACAGGTGAGCACTGTGGGCACTGAATAAACACAAATGCGTCTAAGCAAGCGTCTGCAATAGGGATTGACTAGCCGCCCTAATAGACGGGTATCCTCAAATACGTGTGGCTAGCTATATATATAATTATATTTATTAGACCCTCCCGTCGAATTCGTCGCTTCAGGGTCAAGCGGATCAGCTCCCAGGAAACCGACAGCCCGACAGTAGCACATGAGATTTTATTACAGCGGTGAAGGTTTCGTGCAGAACCAACCACATTTTTTGAAGGGTCGAATACAGAGACCTGGTGCAATACGTGCCACAAGGTCCCCAAACGACCAACCGAAGGTTTTGAATTCAGAGTTGTCCTTCTCCTCGGCCAGTTGCCACCCAAAGCTATAGAACCCAGAGTTTTCCTTTATTCACCCATAGCTGGAGGGAGAAGAAGAGGATTCATACCTTTCCCAAGAGTATTGGCACGTAACTGAATGTAATGGATTCGACTGGAATGCGAACTCGGCTCTCCGATTCCTCAATCCAAGCAGCTACCTATTACTTCATACACACACACACACACACACACATATATATATATATATATATATATATATATATATATATATATGTATGTATGTATGTGTGTGTGTGTGAGTGTGAAAGTTCATATATAAACATATAATATGTGAAGACGTGAAGACAAAATAAGAAAAGAAATAGAAATATTCTGGTAAGAGAAATATTTTGAAAACTTACTAATAGAAACTAAATAATGGAGGATGTTACATAACGCAATTATTCGGCCTATTAAACATAAGTGAGTTGATGTTTTTTATTATGTATTTGTGTAATTACTAGCAGTCTAACCTGTCTTCGACCGTTTGTTTCATTTCTGAGAATTTTTTTTTCCTTTCAATTGGACCAGTTAAGGCTTAAAGTCAGCTCATCAATAAATCAATATTAGTAACAAGAATTGGGTGCAACTGAGACGCATCGCCAAATGCAGAGGAGGGGGGTTAACTATTTAAATCGGGTAGAGTGGCCCTGAAAAGGTACGTTTTTGTGTTCGCAACCTTGCATGGAAGAAACCTCTTTCATGGACCGTCATAATGATAAACTACGATAATTTTTTTTTATAATATATATTTTTTTATAATTCTAATAATCTTTTGCGTTAGATTTCAAATCTCTAAATTGATTGTCGCTGTTTTTTTTTGTTTTTTTTTACAGTCATTAAACTTTTCCTTTGATTTTTTCGCTTTTTCACCTT